CATTTCTTTCTCCTTTGATTTTCTAAAAATAGCTCTCCTAGACAGATCTTTTTCAGGATCGACCGCCAATCATCCAACCATTTCTGTTGCGGCCGTTACTACCAATTTCCAGTTGGAAACTCAAGCCTATTTCGATTATTATCGAAACACTTGGTGAAATGGATTTAAACCCAGTTCAAATACAATGAACAATTAAAGATTAGGTTGGAGAAATTTCAAGACAAATAGAAACACACTCTTTTCGGTACATTCAGTTTTCATTTTGGGATCAATGGGATCAATCAATCAATCAAATCAAACAATCGTGGTGATATAAGAAGAAAATGAAGAATCGAGTACACCATAAAGGGTGTGTTTACATGGTTCAAGTTCAAAAAGTGCACTCCACAGAGCAGCTTATATTTAGCTTAAGATTTTGATCTCCTGTCCAAAAGCTTAAATCACAAATGGATAAAATAATCAATTATCTCGACTTAAAGACATCAAAAATCAAGAGTGCCTATATGTAAACTTTCTGAGTTTCATTATATCATCAAAAATAATATTTATTATTATTGTGGGGTTCTTTTGATATTTCTCGGCAAAAGTGCACTGACAAGGTCATCAAAGATTTTCATCTATAAAAGGGATCGTGTTTGCTTCGAGATTCCCTTTTCCCCATCCGAGGTTTGCGCTCTTACCCGAGTTCAGTTATCCAAGAGAGTTTCTTGTCTGAGCAATCCCCGGGTAGAACTTATCTTTTTAGGTGTAAGCGGATGCCGTTGTTGAGCTTTGTCCGGCGTTGTTTCGTTGTTCACAATGAGGTGAAGAGTTTTGTTTTAAAGTTAAATATTAGATTGTTGCTTCAATTTTGACAATTTGCATAAAGGGAGTTTGCCTCAATCTATCTAATAGTTTACTTGTAAAGCCTACTTGTAAAGCCTACTTGTAAAGCCTACTTGTAAAGCCTACTTGTAAAGCCTAAAAAACTAATACAAGTTTACTTGTAAAGCGATCTGGTATGTTAAAGTACAGTACACCGCACTTCGCTCTTCTCTCTTCCCCATAAGGTCCTCTACTTTTTACAGTACCCCGTAAGGTTCGGAGTACTGTAAAAAGGGTGACACAGTATATTTTCTGTATACCTTTACAGATATTATTGAATAGACTAGCTGCTAACAAGGCTTACAATACTTTTAAACTTGTTACGAACATTCGAAAAAATACTAGCTATTCAATGAGTTCAAATTTCAGAGTTCCAACATCGATCATTCCTCTGATTGCCCTGAAATCATCTACTTCACCATCACACCATATATCGCCTTTTTACCTCTCTTTCTATTTCAATTAACTAGAATTCAAATTGGAAAACAGAAAAACTTAAAACTATCGACGATAATCAAATTAAGATTGGTGAGTTTTCAACAAATTAATTGTTTCGTTAATCGTTTCTCTTTCAGATCTTATTCACCACATTAATCATTTTGCACTTTGTCGAATTGTTATTGAAACATTTCACTGGAAATGATTATTTGAGAGGGAATGTCTTTTTCTATCATTTTACGGCGATTCTTTCGCTGGTGAGTTTTACGTGAGCATTTAAAACTCGTTCTGTACTTTGGCTTTCATCATTTCACTAGCAATCAAGGGTTTTAGTGTACCAGGGAGGATGCATTTAAAAGCAGATAGGATGAAAGCAGAGTGCTTGTTCGGTCCAGCTCAAAGTTGTGCAAAAATTTGTCAGAGATATATAAGTAAATATAAGTCCTATTTTATCGATTAAAAATCAGAATCACCGATCCAATCTAGAGTGTGTTCCTTGCAGACAACACGTTTTCTAAAAAGCGCTCGCCAAATATAAGCTACCGTAACCCTATGCTTTGCATAAGCGATTTTTTAAAATACAAATGTACATTAAAACCTTGCGCTTTCTTTTCTACTACTCTTTTCTAGGAAAAACGATACGCTTTTGACACTAGCTATGGCCGAAACTAATATCTCCATTACTCAGCTTAGTCGTAGCAAAAGGTGGAAAGCATGGTTTAATGCGCAAAATATCAAAATGCCTGGTCGAAAAAGGTTTATAAAAAGTTATTTACTACAAAAAAAGTACATCGACATCGACACCATAAAAAATTCAATGATTGGTAGACTCGAAGACCAAATAAGGGAAAGCCTAAAAGAAATTGTGGAATGTTCGATTTCAAGTGATTCAAATGATCGCCCGTGAGTCCAATTCTTGCAAAGCATCCCCAATCGACACCAGATCTTTGCAACTGATCAGAAGAAATTGTTCGAAGAATGTTTTCCATTTTCCACAACAAAAACATATACAGTCGTCAAAAAAAATTGCACCCTCGAAGAAAAACTCGTTTTTGGCAAAAAAGTCAAAAGCACCCCAGACAAAAAGCTTAAACTTCAGTATCTGGTCGGTCCTCCTTGAGCTTTAATGATCTCTTTCATTCGACTTGGCATACTTGCAACCAATTCCTCGAGTGTCCGTGGTGAAATCGACTTCCAAATCTCTTGCACTTTGTCCCAAAGCTCATCCTTGGAAGAAAACTGGTAGCCACGTAATTCTCGTTTTACACTTGCCCATAAATGCTCAATGGGGTTACAACAATCGGGAGAGCCTCCCCAGCACATTACACCACCACCATTAAACTTGACTGTTGGTCTGGTGTATTTGAGTCGATATCGATCACCAATCGGTCTTTTGATCACATAATAGCCATTATCAAAGCTAAAATATCAAATCTGCACTCGTCACTAAAGAGTACGTGCTTCCAACTCTCAATTGACCAGTGTTGATGTTCTAACGCAAACTGTAATCGTTGCTGCCTGTATCGTAGATTCATCAACGGTTTGAGCGTCGGCCATCTCCAGTACACTCCAAGTGTTTTAAGTCGATTTCGCACAGTCCTAGTGGTTACATTGACTCCAAGTCTCCGTTTCAAGAACGATTTCCCATCGGTAGCCGTGCGAGTGGGAGATAGAAAATGGCATTTGTGCATTGCTCGATCTTGATCCTTTGTCGTTTTGCATGGGCGGCCACTGCCTGTCTTTCTCTTCACGTTTCCAGTTTGAAAATATCGTTTGCAAATCCTCCTCACCGTCCATTTCGAAACGCCAAACAATCGTTTGATGGTCTCTTGGTTGAGTCCAATCCTTCGAGCTTCGGCGATTTTCTCCTTCGTTCGCGTGTCCAACTGTTCCTTCCCGGCATCTAAAATAAGAACATTATAAATTGTAAAGAAATAAGCAAGAAACAAGAGTTAAAGCCGTGTTAAATCAAAAACGCCAGTGGTGCAAACTTTTGCCCACCCCCTTTTTTAATAAACTCCTATCTAAAAAAACAAGACACCATCGAATACACTTTTCTTTTTATTTTTAAGAACACTAGTCTGCAAGCAAACTTAAACAACTAAAACCAAATGGTGACGCTGTTAAATGTGTCGACTTTTTTTTGCCAAAAACGAGGTTTTTTTCGAGGGTGCAATTTTTTTCCACGACTGTATATTATTTACGAATTTACCAAGCCTATTGTCTACCTTTGCACTAGAACTATTCAAAAAAATTCCACGCCCTAAAAAACTAAATCCTTAGGTAAAACTATCCATTACCACATTTTAAGAAAATTTTGCAAATTTTTTTAGCGCGACCTTTATAGCTTTGCTTAAAAAGCGCACCTTTTAGAAAACGCGTTGTCGGAAGTTTGTCGGATCAGTTGTCTGACAAAAAAGTTGTCAATGAAAATTTGTCTGACAAATTGTCTGTCAACAAGGAGCACACTCTAATCCAATCCGTGGTTATTGGAACCGTATTGAAACCGTACGAGTCACTGTCGACGAATTGTTAGACTAAAAGGTTAATATTGTCAAGTAAGTCAGTGGCTAGAACAGTTCGTTTACGACGGTGTTTTACGTACAGTCGTGTAGTCGTTTTGTTTTACTGATAATTTTGTGTAAATTCAAAGATAAACAAAAGGATTATAGTCATTCGATAGCGTTGAATTTTCTCTTGAAAACTAGTACAAAATTAGAACTTTTTGCAAAATAAATAATAAAATTCTTAAACTAAGTAAACATCAAATCTGTACAATTTGTATGTCTTAGTCGTAACATAAAAATTTCCACCCAGCAGTACCGTTTTCAGCTATTAGCTCTTGCCTCAACAATATTCTCGAATCTCGCTCAAAGACGTTTCAATGGTTTCGTCATCTTATTTGCGATGGCTTCATTGTTATTTGAGTCGATTTTTCTACTAATAATGGTAGGCTTTTTCTTTCTGAACTGAAACAATTAAGCTTAGATACTAAGCAGCCAGACACCGTCTTTATGGAGTCTTTCTCGTTCTTGTCTTTTAATCTTACTCAATCTTTGCATGGTTAAAAAAGATCGGCCGACAAATGATAAGGTAAAAATTGAAAATGAATAGTCTAAACTTTTTAACTTCAGGAAGCTTGTCCTTATGATTATGTTGGTTTCTATTCAACACTGATCTTTTCGTGGATGAATCGGTTAATAGAGATTGGACACAGTAAGGTGAATGCAGAGAAATGTATAAATAAGCTTGAACTTTAAAAAAACAAATGATGGGTGCTGTAAAGTTGCAATCTCTTGTAGATCTACAGTATCCCGGGATGAAAGTAATCAGCTGACAAAGCTAAATGATCTTTAAATTCTTTGGCAAAATCAAAATGTTCGGTATTATTGGCTGAGTGGCTTTATTTCTACATTAGAAATTTGCCGCTTCTTTAAGACTTTAAGTACTCAACGCTGAAAAATTTGTCTTTTTGTTAAATTCTTAGAAGTTCACCGGAGTTTGGTCAGCTTATCGCAATTCGCAAAGCACTTCTACTCACAACGTTCTCAATTTTCCGGAAACCTAATCAAATCAAACTCGTCCTTTGATAAAAAAAAAGAAGATAATAAAACGACCAATTTCTAGTCCTTGAGCATGGATGATATCTTTTTTCTCTCTTTTCCCGCCTCATCGATGTATCTTCGAGAAAAGTGGAGAAAAACGTGGGAAAGGGAAGTGAAAAGTAAGTGAAAAGTAATTAAGATCTCTCGAAAAGATCATAAAGATCTATCTAAAAAAATTGTACCAAAAGGAAATATTACGTTGTCCGGAAATAAATGAGCGTTTTGTATTGTTTATTATTTGGGTACATTTTTCTCAATAAACTATGCTCTGTACCTTGTAATGTTATATACCTTGTAATGTTATACCATTACCTTGTAATGTTATACCATTAGAAAGCTGAGTTTGTGCTCTCTTTAACCATACTTTTAAATTTTGTTAAAAATAAAATTTTTTGCGAATTTTAAGCTTCGTTGTTTCAGATGTCCGAAACCAACTTTTGTCAGATTTTCTTTTATGAGTTCAAACTCGGTCGCAATGCAGCTGAAACAGCTCGTAACATTAACGAAGTAACGACATTAACGAGGCAGTGTCGGCGAGTCAACAGTGCGAACTTGGTTCCGAAAATTCCGAGCTGGTGATTTTGATCTCGAAGATAAAGAAGACCGTGGCCGTCCTGTTGAACTCGGTGACGACGAACTGAAGACCCTGGTGGAAGCAAATCCACGTACGACTATTCGAGAGCTTGCGTAGGAGCTTGGCGTGGGCGAGACGACCATTTCCGACCACTTGAAACGGATTAGAAAGTCAAAAAAGCTCGATAAATGGGTGCCGAACGAGTTGAATGAAAATCAAAAAAATCGTCGTTTGTCTGCTTATCTTCAAAAACGACCCATTTCTCGACCGGATCGTAACGTGCGACGAAAAGTGGATCCTCTACGACAACCGGCGAAGTTCCGCTCAGTGGTTGGACGCCGGAGAGGCTCCACGACACTTTCCAAAGCCAAATTTGCACCAAAAGAAGGTTATGGTAACTGTTTGGTGGTCCGCAGCCGGTCTCATCCATCACAGCTTTCTGAATCCGGGCGAAACGATTACGGCGAAGAAGTACTGCCAACAAATCGACGAAATTGCGGGGAATGTGCCCCGCATTGGTCAACAGAAAAGGTCCAATTCTTCTCCACGACAACGCTCGTCCGCACGTCGCACAACCGATCCTGCAAAAGCTTATTTCGACTAA